GAGAAGTCCAAGTTCGTCCTGTTGTGCCTGGATTGCTGAAGTCCCACTTAAAACGCACAGGGGAATGCCATTTGCTATGAGGTACAAGATTATCCCAAACTGTGGACAAGTTTGAAAAGTCCATGGGCCTCTTTGCTCTGCCTCTTCTGCCAGGCTAGGATTGGGCCATGAGACGAGGTATGCCCAGATGGCGAGGTGTTACTCAGAGCAAAACAGATCTTTTCAAAGATTTGACCCGTAGATCCCGAGCCTGCGCCTCTGTTTGGGGAGCCAGCCCTGGATCCTCTCAAGGAGCCTTGAACTCTGCTGCTCCCAGCCAGACACAGGCTACAAGTGTGCTCCCTGGGCCTTGCTTAGGGTGCACGGTGCCAGCCATAACACCGAGTAATGCCGGGAGGTGCCTTCTAGAACAGACAATGTGGGCAAGCTCCTCAGAGAGGGAATTACCTCTGGCTTTACTTGTAAATGACTAAATTATTGAAATGATTGTCAGTTAGGTGGAGTAGACTTGCCTTCTGCCAGGACACTTCCTGGTTATTTGCATAGGCAGGTGTGAAACACTTCCTATCAGATGTGGCACCTCCTGTCTGGATGGGGGGAAGGGAAGGCGATTATCCTTGCTGTGCACCATCTTCATATCACAGTCTGTGAGGTGCAAGGTCTGCACCTTTGGCCCTGAGAGGGGTTTTGCGATAATTCTCGTACCCTTACTCCCCTGCCACCACAATCCCACCCCAAATAAAATATCAGAGGCCCACACATGTTATGGTTATTCCCAAAATTTGACAGGACTTTATGAAACAATGAGTCATGGGCCTTCTGGGGCCAGCTGTGTTCCTTAGAATTGTGAATATTAAGATCTGAAAATGCTGCTACCTTGCTTTTAACTTTGTTGAATTAGTAATCCTAGCTTGAAAAATCCTTTTGGCATCTCTTTGACTATTCCACTTTGCTGGATCAAGTTGCCAAAGTGGCATTTAACCAAAGTGTGTACGTGTGTGCAGGCTATGCATTTAGTCATTTTTCTGTTCCTAGGAATGAATCTAGGGTCTTTATATTTGTCTGTATATGGAAAATAGATACATAAAGGGCTCTGCTCATTAGTTATGTGGGAATGTACAAATTCAGGGGGTGAAATGTGGATGAGAAACAAAATAGGACGAAGTTGGTGAAAGTTTTATATTTCCCCATGAGCTAACTGCTGGACTGAGCTCATGGCTCCTCTGTATCTGAGTTTGAGTTAATTATTACATATCATTAACAGCTGTCTTTCTTTCCTTTTTCCCCCTCTCTTTTTACTTGATTTTGAAGGGGAGGATATGAAAACTATGGTTTTTTTGACATCTTACTGAAAAGAATCACTAACTTAGAAGTAGTTAAACCTAATCATCTATACTCAACCACCAAAGGAATATAAAGATTCATGGAGACTGAGAAATGAATGAACCCTTTTGACTTAGTTTATGACCCCATAGTAAGTACAGTGGGTTGAATTTCACTAAAGACCATATTTGCTTGAGGCTGTTCAATTCTGGCAAAATTCTGTAGGTTACAGTCCAAACCTCTGACAGTCCCCACGTCCTTGGAAAGGTCTTGCTTCTGTGGATGCTGAGTTCAGTTTGGGCTGGAATTTTAAAAGTAGACTTCACTCTGAGAAAACATTAGAAAAAATATTATTATACATTTAAAAAAAATTTGACAGTTTTTACTAGGACCACAAAGTGTCATTAATACCTTGGTCCTCTGGACTATCCGTTTCCATAGAATCAATAATCAATAGAGATTGGTTCTAGAACCCCTCCCCTCCACCACCAAGTCTGTGGCTGCCCAAGTCTGTGGCTGCCCAAATAAAATGGCATAGTATTTGCATACAACCTATGCGCATCCTCCTATACACTTTAAGTCTTCTCTAGATTACAATATCTAATCCACTGCAAATGCTATGTAAATAGTTGTTGTATTGTTTAGGGAATAATGAAAAGAGAAGAAGTCTGTATCATCGTGGACTTAACTACATAGTATAGACACATCAGCAACAGCATAACTTTTTCTCCCCCAAAATAGTTCTCTCCGAGGTTAATTGAATCTGTGCATGTGGAAACCGTGGGTATAGATTGCCAACGGTATTTGTTTATAGTTTTTCCTAGTGCACCATAGGTACAGCAAGTAAAGTAATTTGTACTCTTTAATCCATTATCAGTCTGTGAACAGCTAATCAATCTCCTATTTTAAAAAATATATATATTTTATTGATTTTTTTTACAGAGAGGAAGGGAGAGAAATAGAGAGCTAGAAATGTCAATGAGAAAGAAACATTGACCAGCTGCCTCTTGCACACTCCCTACCGGGGATGTGCCCGCAACCAACGTACATGTCCTTGACCGGAATCGAACCTGGGACCTTTTAGTCCGCAGACTGACGCTCTACCACTGAGCCAAACAGGTTTTGGCCAATCTCCTATTTTATTTTACCTCTTCATCCCAACTCTAACCCCTCGACCCCAACTTACTGTCAACAGACACAACCTTTTAATGTGTTAGGTATGTATTTTTGGATATATGTAGTCTTGAAAAAACATTTAGGGTTTAAAAATAGATGCTTATGTTTGAATTTACAGAAATTGCGTTATTGCACCATTTTTAAATACAGCCTTTCTAACCCCCTGCTGTAGATTACAAACAGATCAATATGACATACTAACACCCTCCTCGCTTCTGCCCGTCCGTTTCCCTTCAAAGAATCATCACCTGTTAGGCAACATAGTTGGCAGCCCGCAGCCAGCTTTGTGCCATTCAAGAGTGGCAAGCATGTCTAGACTCCCTAGAAATATTATCTTTCAACTCGCTTTTGGCAAGTGTAAACTTTTTGCTGGATTATGTCAACAGATATATATGTTTCTCATCCTCATTGAAATAAATTGGTGCTGGAATTTCTCTTGGATTTCTCTAGGCAGGGAAAATAAAGACCATCTCTTGGCTCATTAAAGTTTTTGCTCATTAAAAATGTCTGAGGGCTTTTGAGTCTCGGGGGGGTTAGTTGGTGACATACATATACTGTCAGCGGCTATTTTGGATTTTCTGCTTTCAGGCATGTCTTTGGTCTTGGATAAGCCCCTTGTGGTTTTCAAAAGAACTAGCAAGTCAATTATAAATAGAAGGCCTTGTGTCTGTGTCTGCATGCACTTACTCTGTGGGACGAGGCACCCACATTTCAGTGGGCAGTGAACTATTTTCACTTTGAAGAGGGAAGAAGAAAGATTAAGAATGCCATTCCCCCCCCTCCCCCCCTTTTGAGATAACCCACATCTCTACGCACACCCACTCAAATCTGTGTAAATGAACTTGACATTTTCAAAGACCTTACCTTAAGGTCTCTTAAAAGCACAGCCACCCGACCGGTTATTTTAAGAAAGGAGCAGTTATCTCACAGACCTGTGGCAGAGGGTTCAGGAGGAGAAGGCGGACTGTCTGTGCCTTCGACCATCCCAGGGAGCTCGGGAAGCTGAATGTCCTTATATGAACAGTGCTAGGGTGAGTGTGGCCACAGCTAACTAATCAGTGGCTTCTAGGACATGACTGTTTATATTTTCACTTTCCTTCCCTGCTAGTAACTAGTAAAAACTGTTGTGACCAGCAAGTCTGAACTAATCATTCTAATAAGAGGGCCTGGGGGAGAAAGGGCATATAAAAAATGAAACTGCAAACGAGGGTTTGAGAAATAGACAGGAGTCTGCTTGGGTTTGCCTCCCTGATGATACAGTTCTGCCTCTTTCCATTGCATCTAAGACCCACCAGGTGTGGGCTGTGCCACGGATCCCATCTGTGACCTTATTGTTCAGACGTTATTCTGTTCCCTTTGTCTCCTTGTGCCCTCATCCTCAGTAACTGGTGCCAAACTTTTTTCCTGCCACTTGAAAATATGTAAGCAGCTCTGAATTTCCATTGTAATTAATGTAAAATCTTCAGTGTTATTACTGTTAAAAAAAATTAGTCTAGGCATCTAGCTTAAAGTACTGACAATAAGGGTTTGTAATTTTGGACTTGTAAACTTGTAATATACCTTGTGGTATATTACTGAAGCAGACTGGTAACAGCAGGAACGTGACCGTTTCTTGTGTTACTGGTTCACGAGAATTTGTGTGGAGCTAGCAGGAATGGTCATTGCAGCTGCCATATATAGGTTGTCCCTAAAAAACATATATACACTTAATAGCTAATAGCTCAGTTTTGAAAACACTGTATTTTTTTAAGCTTTATTGTTGAAAGTATTACATATCTCCCTTTTTCCTCCCACCCTAGGCCTTCACTACTCTTATTTTCTGTGTCCATTGGTTATGCATATATGCATACAAGTTCATCGGTTGCTCTCTTCCCACCCATCCTCCCTGCCTTTCCTCTGAGGTTCAGAAGTTTGTTCCACGCTTCCATGTCTCTGGATCTATTTTGTTCATCAGGTTGTTTTGTTCACTAGATTCCACATATGAGTGAGATCATGTGGTACTTGTCTTTCTCTAACTGGCTTACCTCGCCTAGCATAATATTCTCCAGGTTCAAAACGAAATGTATTTTAATAAACACTATCTTTATAATTATTCAAAGTGTGTATTCATTTTTGGGGACACACTATATTTAGGACCCCCCCCCCACACACACACACACACACAAAGAAATGAGCATTATGTTCTGGTAAAACATTTTATTTTGATGCAGGGATTAGGAGATGAGAGCCCGTTGGGCCGAAGATAACGTGTAAACCACAGTGGGAGAAATTCATTTTTTGGAGTCCGTGGACAAATGATAGCCTAGAAGAATCCAAAAGAGTACACAGTTATATAAATGAGTTTATACACTGAGAGGTGATTATTATTTAGTAGTTGGTCAGGTGAGAGATACAAGACCACAGAATGAGGACAATGATCTTGGAGAAACTGTCTTATTTTTCCCCCTCCCCCCATGGGTGTATAATCCATTCAGTGACTCCCCCTCTTTCCCCTTTTGCAGATGAGAAGCCCAAGGTGAACCCCAAACTGTACATGTGTGTGTGTGAAGGCCTCTCCTGTGGAAATGAGGACCACTGTGAAGGCCAGCAGTGCTTCTCCTCACTTAGCATCAACGATGGCTTCCACGTCTACCAGAAAGGCTGCTTCCAGGTGTACGAGCAGGGGAAGATGACCTGTAAGACCCCACCGTCGCCCGGCCAGGCCGTGGAGTGCTGCCAAGGGGACTGGTGCAACAGGAACATCACGGCCCAGCTGCCCCCGAAAGGTTCGCACACACTTGTCTGTTTCTAGATCAGGGGTTTTTGTTGGTGGTGTGCTGGTTCTCTGTGGGTTAAAGATGGGAGTGGCTCCGAGGCTTTCCTCCAGCTCTTTGAACCAGAGGCAGTGGGTGACAGGGAAGATGGTTCTAGGTGAAGAAGAATATGGCACCACCTGTAGAATCTAAAAGGAGGATGGACGTTTTTGGGGGAAGTCAATAAGGCGATGTCCACCTCAAGGACATCTTGGCTGGCCAGGTCTCTTTCAGCAGTCACACGCAGGTGGACAACAGTTCCTGATGCCTTTCCAGTACATGAGCCAGGATGCCATTCAACATTTCTGAAAACATTCTGCATAGTCAAGAGTTGAGTGTGCAGGGAGGAAAATGAAATCTAAGACTTAGGCGCCTGAGTGGAAAACCTCTTCTGTATAAGGAAGGAGACAAAGAAAGGCTCACTCAATGCTCACGTCCTATTCCCAGTGATCCATCACTGAGACATGAAGCTGCGTGAGACTCCCCACGAACCTGGGAGTTGATGTGGAATCTTCTCTGTGTTATGTTAAATGTGGATTCCATAGCCAGTGGAAATCAGTCCTCCTCTGAACTTGTTTCCCCCATAAAATTAGCCTGAAATTGCTATCTCAGAGTTCCTACAAATATTAATGTGTCTTAGTCTGTGTTGATTCACTCTAAGGCAAATTTACTTTTAATAATATCGTACATTTTTAATAGGCATGGTTATTTAATTTTGCTCTAAAAAAAGAAGAATCAACCCCCAAAATGGAGTAGGAGAAGCTAGTGGGAGCATCCATTGCTGGAAATGTCAGCCAGCAAGGGAGAAGACAGAAAAATGAAAAAGACTAATGCACGATCACATCACAGTAATTGTTGAAATTATGATGACCTTCAGGCATACAGAAAAGGTTAAATTTTGATAAGCAAGTAGGTTTGAATGATAGACAGTTTTTAAAAGAGGGATTAGGTATTTAAACAGTTACAGCTAAAAGGCTACGTGATGGAATACAGCTGGACTTTTAAACTTTGTGAGTTTACCTGTTATTAATAGAGTGGGGAGACATGAAGAAATGTCTGCATTCACACAAAAATTATATCTCTAGTTTGAAAAGTTTCTAGCCTCTGAGTTGTAATAGAATATTTTCTTAAGGAATTTCTAATTTAATTAAAGAGGTGTAATATTTATAATTTAATGTTGTATATAATTAGTTTTACACTTTATAGCACAAGTGATACGTGCCATGGGGTATTTTGCCAAGTGGTTGATTAAATTAGTTGGATTCGGAAAGTTAAAAGAAATGTATGAAGTAAACTAGGCTTGAGATTGGTTCACTGAAGGGGCCAGGAACATGGAAAATATAGTAAGTCATATGTTGGGAAGAACATGGCATGCTGACAATGTCATGAAGGGATCTGAAATTCAGAGAGAATTATTGTTTTGGGATATTTTAATTATGGACCTTCACTATCCAAATAAGAAAATTTGATTGAACTCACTGAGCAGGTAGAAAGTCTTTGCAAATATTTGCTTTAGTGGTGTGTGAGTGTTGAGTGAATGCATGAGCATTTGGATGGATAATGTAAGAAAGAATGCCCGAAGAGTCAGTGAATGATTGTTTTGGATGAGTGAATGAATGTTGAAGACATTGAGTAAAAGAACAGATGAAGGAATAGCTTCCTAGGCAAAATCATGATATAAAAAGGTCATTGAGAATTCAGCAACAAACATCTAGGATACGTTGAGAGATTGCACAGTTTGGTCTTAACTCAGCACTGTCTAGGGATCGTAGAGCATAATGTCTGTCTGCAAGGGGATGATGATAAAATATCCGTACAGATCAAATCCAAGTTAATAAGAATAGCACCGGAGATTTGTATAGTACTCTATATTTTAAAAGCACTTTCATATACATGCTTTAATACAGTTGATTCTCAATGGAATTTTCCCAGTCGTGTCTAAATGAATACTAGATAACATTACTGGGCTATTGGCCAGGTGTTAGGAAGTATGTTAGTTTTAACGCTTAGTTTTAACGCTTGTGAGACTTTGTGGTCAGGATCTGGAGCTACCTGTTAGGGTATTGGTTATCAATATTAATAAAATAAGTAAACAGTGATCCTTACAACCGTTTTCGCCTCCATTTCCAGAGAAATCCTTTTCTGGAACACAGAACTTTCCCTTGGAGGTCGGCCTCATCATTCTGTCCGTAGTGTTCGCAGTATGCCTGCTAGCTTGCCTACTGGGAGTCGCTCTCCGAAAATTTAAAAGGCGCAACCAGGAACGCCTCAATCCCAGAGATGTGGAGTACGGCACCATCGAAGGGCTCATCACCACCAATGTCGGAGACAGCACTTTAGCAGTGAGTTGTGACCCTAGCATCCCAGCCATAATGAAGATGGCTGAGGATGCCTTCTTATTTTGAGCATGAAAGCTAACCAGTAACTGGTGACTGGACAAAGCACTGGCCAAGCACTTCCTAAGCAAGCACCTGTCTGGTCTCCCGTTTGAGGACATTCACTTTAGACAATGTTTATATTAAATGAGAGAGGGGATTCATTTTAGCAGATTTGGGGGAGTAAGGGCAAAGGGCCATGTCGGCGGTGGGGGTGAGAGGGGAAACCTTGGAATTTATGGTACTCAGTTACTTTTTTCTTTTAGCAATAAAAGTGCTTTTATGAAAAGCACCTTTTGCTTAGTATTAAAAATCACTTTTCCTTCTAGATTATTTTTAACACCCTGTAATTTAAGACTTTAAAATTTGACATTCAAAAAAACGAAGCTATTAAATTTTTCACGCTCCTGTGCTGCCCCCTTGTGGAGTGCGGTCATGTGGCTAAACCAGAGATGTCCAGGAGAAATATGTGCAGCACATATGTAATTTTGAATTTCTAGTAACTACCTTAAAAAAGGTAAAAACAAAACAAAACCCCAGATGATATTACTTTCAACAATATATCTAACCTAATATATATGTATGTGTATATATATATATATATATATATAGAGAGAGAGAGAGAGAGAGAGAGAGAGAGAGATATCATTTCAACATATAATGATAAAGAATAACTAATAAACTGAGCTTTCAAAATCTGGTATGTATTTTACACATACAGACTCTAGTATAATAGTTCAGACTAGCACAGTTCACTTGCTCAGTGTCAGCATGTGGCTAGCAGCTACCCTAATGAATAGCACAGGGTTAGAAACTATTGTATTTATATGCTTTAAAAGTACTCTTGTATATTTTTAAGTCACAGTAAATCAGGAAATCACAGTAAAAAGTGACTATCTTTTTTTTTTTTTTACAATTTAAATTTGTTTTTCAAAGGTTATTGTTTTTAAAAATAGATATTTTTATTTATTTCAGAGAGGAAGGGAGAGGGTAAGAGAGATGGAAACATCAATGATGAGAGAGAATTATTGACCCATACCCCCCATTGGGGATCGAGCCCACAACCTGGGCATGTGCTCTGACGGGGAATCGAACCATGACCTCCTGGTTCATATATCGACGCTCATCCACTGAGCCATGCCAGCTGGACTAAAGAAACTTTAAAAAAGTGGGAGAGGGAATTACTTGCTGTAAATGGGTTATGGTAAAGTGCAAAAGAGAAAAGTGTTAATGTTCTAAAAGGATACTATGCTGTGTCTGGTGCTTACTTTGAAAAAGGCATCAGCCTAGTGAGTGTTAGAGAGGTGTTAAAAACATACCCGTACCAAATCAAGGTTCCTTTTCATAATCTGATGAATTGAAAGACAATCAAGGTAATCATTTTGTAATGGGAGTCAATGTTATTTAATGCCATGATCATGTGTCACTTAAGATCATCTTATGTTAAATCTTCTAGACCAGTGGTCTGCAAACCACGGCTCTTTGGCCCCTCTTCCACAAAATACTACGGCCTGGGAGAGTCTATTTTGAAGAAGTGGCGTTAGAAGAAGTTTAAGCTTAAAAAATTTGGCTCTCAAAAGAAATTTCAATCGTTGTACTGTTGATATTTGACTCTGTTGACTAATGAGTTTGCTTGCTGACCACTGTTCTAGACAACATGCTTAAAAGTGTCTGACATTTCTGTAGTTCAGCCTGACCTGCACCTTCCTTTTTACTGGAGAAGACTTGCCCTTGACAATCTTTGCTGCTTGGTTCCTATACCTGGACCATTTTTAGTGAGCTGTTAAAACATTGGGTGATAGCAGATCCAGGCTGGGAAATGTCCCATCCTGCTGCCTTCCCCATTACTGGGCCACCTGTCAAATATACATTTTGGTGTGAAAAAGGGGGAAGAACCCTTTCAAAGTTGAGCTTCCTTTCATCTACCTATTTAAATTGTAGCACAGCAAAACTGGGAAAAGAGGAGAGAGGGCATTTTATTTAAAAAAGTAGAGGATTATAGTTTTTTTGTTGTTGTTGTTGTTAGAAAAGTACTTAGAGATTAATTTCATATTTTGAGGGAAATTAATTAAATTTATTGAATTAGCAGCAAAAACATACAAGGCTGCCCGGGCTGGTGTGGCTTGGTTGATTGGGCATTGTCCCATGTACCAAAAGGCTGCTGGTTTGATTTCCAGTCAGGGCACATGTTTGAGTTATTGGCTTGATCTCTAGTAGGGAGTATGTGGAAGCTGATCCAAGTTCTCACATTGATGTTTCTCTCTCTCTCTCTCTCTCTCCTTCTTTCTTTTCTCTCTTAAAACAAATAAAACATCTTTCTTAAAAAAGAAGATAGAAGGATGAATCCTGACAAAGATTTAACAAAGCAAGATTCAAAAAAATATTTGTCAGAACTTCATTCCTCAGAACAGCTAACATAACTAATCACCATGGACAATATTAGGGATATCTTGTGCAAATTATTGTTTAAATAGTTTTATAATTTTGAAAGAGGTATGGGAATGTATGCTAAAATGCCTTCTCCACTCAACCATGTTAGATGAGAGTATGGTGCGATATAACAACACAGTAAACAACACTGTGTAAAACAAGTTGTCCTTATTGGTCATCATACTTGCTCATTGAAGCAATATGCTCATGTATGGGGAGGAAATCAACCAAAGATATCCAAACATCTACTTCGATTCTGGGACCCCAAGGCTGCTTTTCAATGCGGGGGAGCTGTTTAGTAAGACTTTTTCTCAACAGTGTCTTTACAAACCACATCTTACTAAACAGCTCCCCTGCATTGAAAAGCAGCCTTGGGGTCCCAGAATCGAAGTAGATGTTTGGATATCTTTGGTTGATTTCCTCCCCATCCCCATCCTGGGGACCAGGATTCTATATTATGGCAAAAATAACATATTAGTTTAATTTCCTGGATTATTCTCCCAAAATATTGGATAAATAAAGAGAAAAAAAGAACATCAAATAGATGGTTAGGGGGATGTGGAAGTCTCCTTCATCTATACTCCTGTTGATAATCAATTCCTGTTGATTATCCATTTTGTGGTTTTAAGGATCCTAAATCTTTCCTTTGGATATTCAGCTTTTGGTAATTTTGCTGATCAACAGTACTTCACAAAAGACCTCTGCTTCTTGGCTGCTTTCTAAGAAAGAAAAAAATTTATGAATGAACTAATGGGGAATCTTTTTGATAATATGTTATTTGCCAGAAGTAGATTTGGGGCATGGTTTTATGTTTCCAATGAAAACTTTAGGTTTTCTATGAGTCGTGGCTAACTCCCATCAAGAAATGACACATAAGCCGAAACTGGTTTGGCTCAGTGGATAGAGCGTCAGCCTGCGGACTGAAAGGTCCCGGGTTTGATTTCGGTCAAGGGCATGTACCTTGGTTGTGGGCACATCCCCAGTGGGAGGTGTGCAAGAGGCAGCTGATCGATGTCTCTCTCATCGATGTTTCTAGCTCTCTATCCCTCTCTCTTCCTCTCTGTAAAAAAATCAATAAAATATATTTTTTAAAAAAAGAAAAAGAAAAAAATAAATGACACGTAAGTTGTTAATTTTTGTGACCCCTTTGCTCCTCACTCACTTACGAGGGTAACACCTCCATCTGGGTAGCCCCTCTCTGCTGGAGGGTAGCAGTTGAATGACCCATGTGGCCACTGGCATCTTTTTTACTACAATCAACCTGAGCACCATCTGTTCCTTATTCCTGATTTGTGTATTTCTCATGAGAGCCCCTTAGTTGGTATGTCAGCTGGAAGGGATCCTCTGCTAGATACTGACAAGCAGAATAGAATATGGTAGTTATGCCCAGCCTGGGACTTGAAGTTCTTTTCTCTTCTTTTTGCTCCACGTAGTTTTCGTTCTGCTACTCTCCCTGTGCTCAGCTTGGACTTTCTAATTCCCGTCTTTGACTTTGTCCACTCGGCTTCTTTATATGTTTAATTCTAAAACTATGGGTGCATGGAAGGACCTCAGGAAAACCTTTCCTGTATCAGGGAAAGCATAGGCTTCTGGTTGTTCTAATAAAACCAGTGCTTCTGATAGTGGCTGTTCACGCACACCAATGGTGGCCAGTTGGGAGTTAGAACACTATGCATGCTCGTGCTCTAATTCGGCTGTTTCTCAACAGTGTCTTTTCTCCTTGTCTCGAACTGCAGGATTTGCTGGATCACTCGTGTACATCGGGAAGCGGCTCTGGTCTTCCTTTTCTGGTGCAGAGAACAGTGGCTCGCCAGATCACTCTGTTGGAGTGTGTCGGTAATTCATTTTCTCTTCCTTTGCGGGTTATGTGCGGTGTTAGTTGTGATCCTAGAAGTAGGATGGCACTCTGAAAAATCTGTTTCTTGTTTGCTAACATTCCGAGATTGGGGGGAGGGGCAGCCCTGTGGTGTGGCTTTATCTCTGTTCTCTGTGTGACTTGTGTTGGAGCACCTAAACTTGCACACGTCCTTGTCAAGGGAGTCTGTCACTGTTAGTAGAGCCCATGCTTAGTCAGTTGTAAGTACACCCTTTGGGATGCCAGAAATGCTTGAAACGTGAATGAATAGCGCTGCTCCTCATTGTAGGTATTGAATGAACCGAGGTAGGCTTTAGGACCATAAACTTGCTTATTGCAAGTTTCTAATTCCTCTCACTCTTTCCCTGCCTTTAAAAATAAGGAAATCATTTGTGTAAACGATATATGTATTTCTCTATGGCCACTCACAGTTTTCCATACAGAAACATATTTATGCGTAGATGTGATCATAGTGTGTGTACAATTTGTGTCACTTTTTAAAAAAATTTTTAAGCTCACACACATTTCCCCTTTTTATACACATCATAAATATTTTTAAAGACTGTGTAATAATCACCCATTGAAAGTTCACTTTTCTGTAACAGTACTACTTGAGAGATTTTGTACACATTGCTTCATTCTTTTGAGTCCTCAGAATAAATTCCTAGAAATTAGGATTTCTGGGCCAAAATTTATGACTTTTCTATTGCTTGTTTTATATATTGCTGGGTTGCCCCCTACAAACATGGTACCTAATGCTTTTATTTATTTTTATAACTTTTTAAAAAAAATTTTAAGTTGAATTTTAGAGGGAGAGGAGGGGAGAGAGAGAGAGAAACATCAATGTGAGAACAGAACATCTATCAGCTGCCTTTGCACACACCCCCTACTGGGGATTGAGCATGTACCTGACAGGGAATCGAACTGGCAATCTTTCGGTGCATGGCATAATGCCCAACGAATGGAGCCACATTGGCCAGGGCCCTAATGTTTTTATTTCAAAGTCTCATTTTTAATTAGTTGTGGTGGATATTTGCCAGCCACATGATCGTTTTTATTAATTTCTCCTTTAGACACCATGCAGAGATGACCACAGTAGTGATAATGGGTTGGCAATGTCTCTGTCCTCTCCTGATTCTCCTGGTTCCTCTGGGCTGGACTCGGCAGCTTTGGGGAGGTGGGGGGCTCCCTCCACCACTTGGCTGCTGTGCTCTGGCTTTTCTTACTCTTTTCCTGGGAACCAGAACACCCCCAGCCCAGAAGTAGAAGGGGGGATGGACAGGGATAGTAAGAGCAGCAAGTCCCAACTCAGGCACACAGGCAGTCAGCTGGCGCCTGTTGCCTTTTCTCTAGGTCTCCAGCTACTTGACTGTTTTTGAACACCATTTCACACTGCTTCTCCACAGTGGAGAAAATAAAAATGTCCCCAATGTGCTCATTGCAACCAACCAGCATTGCCCTTTTGGACCAGTTAACATTTTACTGGATTATGAGCCAGGGATTCTGGCTGGTGGTGAGAAGGCAGTGAAAGGAGACTCATCCCCCTCTCATCCCCATCCTTACCATTCACAAGGCAGCAAGTCTCCAGGTCATTCCTCAGAGATCGACCCCAGAGTCCAAAGGGCAAAATAATGTTGCACCTTTAAACATACGTACTGTTTCTGGTTATCGAGATATTCTTCAGTCATTTTTGAAATGATGTAAATTCAAATATAGCATTTTGTGGGTTTAGAGCTAAAGACTTGAATCAAAGCAATGCCTTTTCAGAAGCTTATCGAGTTCATGCACTATAGTTTAAATAAAAGTGTATGTGATTAATTGCTTAGATAATATGTTATCATTATTGATTCAAAAGCAAAGAAACTGGACTAGATCAGTTCTTTTCCAGGCGATGACCAGTGAACCCCTCAATTTCAAAGGCCTTTTTGGATCCTCTTTGTGGGGCTCCAAGAACAGGACTTTGGGCAACTTTGCAGCTGTTTTCAGGGATGTATTTATAAGGAAGCATTTGTAAAAATCAATTGACAACATAAGAGTTTGAGAACCATTGAAGTAGGTTTCTATTTTAATTCTCTCTACTTATCCTAACATTCATCTTTGTTTTCTTAAAAAAAAAAAAAAGGACCTTAAGGGAACTTTTTAGTAATGGCCACAATTCTCTGGGAAAATTTCCTCTCCTCCCTAATGAGACTCTGAGGACAAAGGGCAACTAATGATAAGGAAGAGAACCAAGGGCAGGAAAAGATTAGCCTATCATTTCCTACCAGCGGATTTTGTAGTATTTTTCCCCCAGCCTTCCGCTTGAGCTACAAATGCTGGGCAGTGATTTTATTAACTGATTTATTAAAATTAATCTTGTGCTAAACACTATTTGTGTGACCTGACAAGGGCTCCCAACGACCACATACTGACCACATTTAACATCCTTTTGGATTAGAAACTCCTATTTAGTAGGGACGTTGTTTGTCATAAGGAAATCCAGATTGAGTGGTTTTGATCATGTTTCAGGTGAGTCACCCAGACAGACATGCTTTCTCTCTCCTTGTTTGGGTTCTTGGCGGCTTAGTTGTTCAGCAAAGAGCTGTCTTCCTGTCTGTGCAGGTGGTGCCACAGCTGCTTATTACCAGCCGCGATTCCCGGCAGCACTTGCGGGGGTAGAAAGCCCCACTGTGCTGCGAGTTGTATCTCCTGCTGCATGATCATCTAGGTGCCGCACACGTACCCCGTGATTATACCCCGTGTTGATCCCCAGAGTCTTGGGGTAATTACCTTCTCCTCCCAACCTCCCTGCTTACCCCTTTCTATAATTAAGGAGAAGGGTGGCAGAGGACGCATGGAGCTGACAAGCTGATGGTTGTGTTGCCGCTGCCAGAGAGGGCAGGCACCCAACAGAACCATCACAGCTAGTCACCACGTTCTGCAAAATGTCTCCCCGGTTTGGTCTTTTTCGTGCGGCCCAGGGTGGCGCTGCAGGGGCTGTCTCACAAGCAAATACCCATGACCAATGTCAGAAATCGGGACTGTGCTGGGATTACGTGTTTAAGACTTTGCAAATCCTCTTTTGAACTATATCCTCCGCCAAGAAATCCTTTAGGGATGGCAGTGGCTGCTGCTTGGCGATCCCCTTCTCAGCGTTGCTTTTTGTGTGCTTGTCTGTGGATCGCCTTTTTTTAACCCTTCAGAACAACACATCTCAAACTCAACAGTCTCCTTTTTGAAACATATAAATGTCTTTGTAAAGCCGTATACGCGTTTTTGCCCTTCCACCCCACACTGAAATCTGATGACCGATACCGTTTTTCTAAGTTTTGCTCACTTTCATGTGCTTTTAAAAACTATGTGTGTTTCAGAGACTCTTCAATTGAGGAATTCAAATGTGAATCTTTATATCATGTGCAGCTAATTGTACCATGCTGATACTGAGGGTGTTTAACCTGTTATTACAATGGAGTGGCTGGGTGGGACAGGTTCTACCTTCACAAGCAAAAGGTCCTGGTCTTTGCATTTCCTAAATGGAGTTTTCCCAGTAAACAGTGGGCGTGGTTAAGAGTTACAGGTATGAACTTCATTTGCGATGTCTTCTGTTCTGCCCAATGTCACCTCTGTGCTGCTTCCCGCAGGGAAAGGCAGGTACGGAGAGGTGTGGAGGGGCAGCTGGCAAGGGGAGAACGTGGCTGTGAAAATCTTCTCCTCCCGGGATGAGAAGTCGTGGTTCAGGGAAACAGAATTATACAACACTGTGATGCTGAGGCATGAAAATATTTTAGGTAAGTACCAGGGCAATTCCCCTCACTATCTTTATCTGGAAAGAAATAATTGGCAGGCCTTTGCCCTCTCTGATGGGGTGCATGTGAACTTGCCAGTCTCTCCTGAAAAGCGATATAGGGATCTTGCGAGTGTATATACTATTTCATATTTTTAACACTAATTTCTTGTTTACATCTGCGGAGAAGTGAAATTGGAAGGTTCTCTCAGTGATGAAAAGGAAATTGTTATTGTTCCCTTTTATTCTGCAGGTTGTTATTTAAACAACAGAAATATGCCCCCATATTGTTCACTTCAAGGCTTCCTTGGTGGTTCTGCTTACCCCACACCCTTGCTGAATATTTATTACTTGAATCAAACTAAGAAAGCTCTTTGGATGGTTTCCTAGAGATTCACAGCTCCCAGGGACATTGTAATTAAATGCACATTCCCTCAAACTAGGCATCGTTTTTTTTAAAGCCCGGATTTACAGAGGGATTTAGCATACATTTTAATTTGGAAACTAAAGCTTAAAAACATTTGTGAAATATGTGGAGAGCTCATTGAAAATACTGTTATGGGATTACAAAGGGTGAGAATATTCCTTGCGTCCATTGGCGTGTATATTTTTTGAAAAGTTTCTGCAAATGTATTTATACTCATACATCCTTGATGAATGCTGCCTGGTGTGCTTTTTAATTGGTGGGTGTGAAGTTCCTATAGAATTTGACCTGTTGACGATAGTGTGGGATACGTTGTGACTATTGGATTAGGTCTGGCATACACAAAGCTGTTGGCAGAATTTATTTCTATTCCGGTACAGTCACACGCAGTATAGATTTCAGTCAGTGACGGACACCCTATCCAACAGTGGTCTCAGAATGGCTGGAAAATTCCTGTCACCCAGGACATTGTAGCTATGGAAATGTTGTGTAGCACAACACATTACTCACATTTTTGTGGTGATGCTGGTGTAATCAAATCTGTGTTGCCAGTCATATACAAGTATAGCGCAAACGGTAATGCACAGTACATACTACTTGATAATGAATGGCTACATTACTGGTTTATGTATTTACTATGCTATACTTTTGTCATTATTTTAGAGTATATGCTTTCTGCTTATAAAAAGAAAGTTTACTGTAAAACAGTATGCCATGTTATGCAAGCAGCAGCCTCACAGTTTCCGTGTTTACCATGTCTTTTGATTGCATCATTTTTTTTTTCTTGTGCTTGATTTAATGTCATTTTATAAATTTAGTGTAGCTTAAGTGTATGGTGTTTGTAAAGTCTACAGTAGTGTGCAGTCATGCACTAGGCCTTCACATTCACTCATCATTTCCTAACTCACTGACTCACCCAAGGCAGCTTCTTCTCCTGCAAACTGTATTCATGGTAAGTGCCCTGTACAGGTGGACCATATTTTATCTTTGACAACACATTTTTTACTGTACCTGTTCTATGTTTAGATACACAAATACTATTGTGTTACATTTGCCGACAGTATTCAGTACGTAGCATGCTGTACAGATTTACAGCCTAGGAGCAAGAGGCTGGCTATATAGCCTAGGTGTGTGGTAGACTATACCATCTAAGTACTCTGCATGATGTTCTCACAGTGACAAAGCTGCCTAACAACACATTTATCAGGATGTATACCCATTGTTAAGCAGTGCTCGACTGTACTGCCAATTTAGTATGAAACCTGAGCCAGGTTGTCTGCAAATGATGGTTTGACAGTTGTCCAAAGCTTTGCTTCAACAGTATGTTCCAGCTCAGAATTATCTGTTTCTGCTGTTGATTTTTCCCTTCCCTTTCCCCTGGGGCCCTAGTCATCACCTAATCCCCCTCCTTTATATTGTGGTTCCTGATCTCCCCTTTCCAATCCTTCTCTCTATAATGAGGTATCTGGGGAGCTGAGATACTTCTGCTTTACATGTCTGATGACTCTCACATTGCTTGCAACAATCATGACTTCTGGGCCTGACATGACAGACACCCTACCTTGGGGTCCAAGGGTTCTCTGAAGCATCCTGTACAAATATACCCATGTGCAGCCACTTGCAATCTTTGCCCTTCCTTGGGATTGCCATGAACTTACAAAAATGCTCTAGCTTTTTGAAGAAAGTAGAACAATATAATTCACACCTGAAATATAGTTTTTAAAAATCTTTCTTATTTAAAAGTTATTTTTCCTGAAGGTCCAGAGCAGTGATTTTCAACCTTTTTCATCTCATGGCACACATAAATTAATTACTAAAATTCTGTGGCCTACCAAAAAATGTATTTTTTGACAATCTGACAAAAAAATAGATATATGATTTTTATTGATTTACAAAATAATAACAACTATAATAATAATTACCTACCCTTTTCACTGCAAAAAAAAAAAAAAAAAAAAATCAGGTTCCTGTACCTGTGTATATAAGGATTTTTGGTACCAAGGATTAACCAGTCAGACACAACCTTAGTATGTGACATGACCAATAAGGTGTAACTCTATTATATAGCCTATATATTTTATTTATGGTTCAAGACAGGACATTCACAGCATACTGTTGGCTGTTGGGATTTTTTTTTTTTTAATGTGACAATTTAAGGAGAAAGAGGTCAGTGCCTCTGATTCAATAGTCAGGGATTGAATGTTTTAAAAATTTTTGCAGCACACCGAATGTCAGGGATGTAATCTGCCTACTTCATGTGGTTGTTGGAGGACTGCCTGTCAAGTACTTGGTGTGTTGTTAGCACTTAATAATTAATAGCTGCTTCTATTGTTGATGCTGCTGATCAAATAGAATACCTTTCTTTGTTCTCAGAACTTCCTATGTAGGGTGTATCAGCACAGCCAAAAGTCAGCACAGGTTTGGGGTTGGCTGCAATTTAATAGCTTTGTGATTTTTTCCCAACAGAATTTCATATTTCTAAAATGAGTATAATGATATATATCTATCTTACTGGTCTATTTAGGAAAAGCCCATGAAAAAATATATTTGAAAGTAAGTAAATTTTACACAATATATTATGTGATAGTAAGGCATTTTATGCAATTTCTCTTACTTTACACTTTCGCAAGATATTTAGTTCTTCCTCAAGCCATATCTGTCTTTTAAAAAATTTTTATCTTCTATTTATATGTCCCAAACTTTACTATCCATAAAGTTCATATATATGATATATATAACATTATATCTACTTAATAAAAGAGTAACATGCTAATTGACTGTACCTTCACGATGCCCACCAGCCAATCAGGAGTGAGTATGCAAATTAACCCACAAAGATTATGGGTTAATTTGCATATACAGGTGCAGAGTGGCAGGGGACGGGGCAGGATGCATGTGTCATCACCATGGCAATGACGCAGGCATTCCACACCACTCCAGCTGCTCCTGGCCTCTGGGCAGCATGGGAAGATAGAAAGGTGGCTCTGGGCCACAGCGGAAAGGCTCTCCAGCCAGAGTGAAGACAGTGCCGGTAGCCAGGGAAACAAAGGCCCATTCTTACATGAATCTTCATTCATGCATCTGGCTACTAGTATTCTAGTAAATACATATATTATAAAATATATTATAATGCACAGGGCAAGGTAAAAATAGGCTTACAGTTGTGAGTTTGATAAACTATTTATTTTTGTATTATTATTATTAATTATTGTAGTTTTTCCACATGAGCAACTGTAAATCAACCCTGTATATTATAGTGTACATTGTATGTTACATATAAATATATATTAAAAACACAGAAGTGCTTTTCTAGAATTCTATAGAAGAATATTATTATACTAATGACTCAGTGCACGGATTTGTGCACATTAAAAGGAAGTTAATTAGAAGAAATATTTTAATATCGCTATTCACCCTTTCTCTATAATAGAAGTGTCAGAGATGAAAGAAACTTAGTAAAAAGTATATAAAAATAATATATAGATTAATAAATAAACCATAACAACAAAGGCATGATATAAAAACATGATATAAAAACAACATTGATAAAAAACAATGACTGATAAATAGATCAAACTTATTCTAATATCTCCCTGTATACCACATTAAGAGTAAAAACATTTTCAGAGACTTGACTAATTTCCCTTGTGATGAAATATTTACAACTTTAACTTTAATGCCAACGCTCTTTGAACTCTAGAGAAAGCAACATATAACTGACCATATCCAAAAACGGGTTCAGGTAGGAATATTCCTACTCTGTCTAGAATTTGTCCTTGTGATTTATTAATAGTCATCACAAATACTGGCATCACGGGAAACTGTCTTAAAATTAATTTAAATGGGAGGCCAGTGTCAGATGGAGTCAAATATCGTACATGTGCAAGTCAATGTTTATTTTTAAATTGCCATTGTGCATCATAAATACCGATTGGATGGACGAACAGTCGATCATTCAGCCTTTTATATATACAGATGGCTTGGTGCGTGGATTTGTGCACATGCGTACAATTGGTGCCAGTGAGAGCTTTATATGTATCACGCATGCATGAGTCAACATTTATTTTTAAATTGTCTTTGCATGTCATATGTACTAGCCAGTTGGTCAGTCAGACAGATGGACAGTCAGTCACTTAATCTTTTATGTATATAGATGAATATACTATAGAGAGAAGAGTAATGCTAGAAAAGCACTTCTGTAGCAAAATAACAAGCATGCATATCACAATTTATCGCACAGGTTAGGAAGTGCCTCAGACTTCTATAGTTCCTTCATTGTGCTCTAAAAGTCCCCACAGAATATCTAGAAAAACATCTTCCTACCTCTTTATCTACATCTGTCAGTATTTTACTTCTTTTCAAGACCAGTGGTTACTTTTGATGGAAGCCTATTGGAACATCTGGTATGAATTATTGTAATTCCCTATTCCGGGCTCCTGCTGCCCTTTGCAGATACCCTATATAATAAAAGGCTAATGTGCAAATTAACCGAATGGCAGAATGATTGGTCACTATGCCACACTCTGACCACCAGGGGGCAGACGCTCAATGCATGAGTTGCTCCCTAATGGTCATTGCACTCCCATAGGGGGAGCGCTGCTCAGCCAGGAGCCCTGAACCGGGCTCATGGCTGGCAAGCTCAGTGGCAGTGGTGGGAGCCTCTCCCTCCTCTGCAGCAGCACGAAGAATGTCCAACTGACACCTTAGGCCAAGCTGAGAACCGCCCCCACCCGAGTACACACATTTGGTGCACCAGGACTCTAGTATATTATAATACTTTTCACATTATGTTGTAATTTTTTTCCTTTTCATATCTGTCTTCTTTTCTAGCTAACAAACATTATCATCTTGGTTTTCCTGTGTGACTGACAGAGAGCATCAATTGCTTGTTATATTTCATTGGCTCCTTTTTTTATTTGATGAATCTATCAATCATTTAACATAAACTGATCCCTTTATTTTAAAACTGAGCAGAGAGACTCCAAAGAGCCTAAATGAGTTATCAATACTACCCAGCAAATCACAGGCAGAGTCAGGACTAGAACACAGATGTCTAGGTTCCAGTTTTCTGTTCTTTTTGGGTAGTTGATGAATAATCTGTGCTTGGAATATCAGTGTGATAAAGAGTTTGGCACTATCATTATGGGTAGGCACAAAAAATATTTCTACTTAAATGTTAATGCAGTGTAAAATATTTTTTAAAAGGCTATTTAACAAGGGAAATTAATACGAAATTTTTCTGTGCATTGACAGTATCCTTTAAGGAATAAATACTATAATGTTTCTTTGTTGATGCTTCTGTAAATATTCTTTCATGGTAGTTTGTTAGATTAATTATATTTTGTTATAGATCAGTGGTTCTCAACTTCCTAATGCCGTAACCCTTTAATACAGTTTCTCATGTTGTGGTGACCCCCAATCATAACATTATTTTCATTGCTACTTCATTACTGTAATGAACTGTTACTTTGCTACTGTTAATGAACCGTAATGTAAATATCTGTGTTTTCCTATGGTCTTAGGTGACCCTGCTAGTGGCCCACAAGTTGAGAACTGCTGCTGTAGAGCCTAAGACCATTTAGCGGGGTCACGTAAGACCATCGAAAAACACAGATATTTACGTTATATTACGATTCATTAACAGTTGCAAAATTACAGTTATGAAGTAGCAACGAAAATAATTTTATGTTTGGAGGTTACCACAACATGAGGAACTGTATTAAAAGGTTGAGGCATTAGGAAAGTTGAGAATCACTGTTATATAATGTCTACTATATGGGTCACTATTTCTGGATACTAAAAATCACAATGTAGAATTCTCACATGTCTGTTAATTTTGTTCTTGCTCACTCTAGGTTTCATTGCTTCAGACATGACATCAAGACACTCCAGTACCCAGTTGTGGTTAATCACACATTACCATGAAATGGGATCATTGTATGACTATCTCCAGCTTACTACTCTGGATACAGTTAGCTGCCTGCGAATAGTGCTGTCCATTGCTAGTGGTCTCGCACATTTGCACATAGAGATATTTGGAACCCAAGGGAAACCAGCTATTGCTCATCGAGATTTGAAAAGCAAAAACATCCTGGTGAAGAAGAATGGACAGTGTTGCATAGCAGATTTGGGTAAATTTTTAGAAATATTTTAAAATTACTTTTTGTTGTGAAAAATTTTAAGCATGCAGAGAAATTGAAGATAGTAAACAACTGTATCACAACCACCTAGATTCTCCTATTAATATTTTACTATTCTTAAGCTTTATCTCATATCTGTCTGTCCCGTTTCATCAATCCTTCTTAATTTTTGACATTTCAATGTAAATTGCAGACATAAGAGCTCTTCTCTCTAAAGACTTCAACTTGCACACCACTGTATCATACCACTAGAGTTCATTATTTTTTTTTAATAGGTAAAATTTAAATTTCATGGAAAATACACAAATCTTAAGTATATAATCTCAGGGTTTTGACAAATGTTGTAAAACCTAAATCTTTATCGAGACACAGACTTTCTCATTATCCCATATCATCACCTCATACTGTTGCATTCTGATTTCACAGCTCTTTATACAAATTAGGTACACATGCATAGCATATAGAGTGAGTTTGTCTTAAAAATGGTTTCAAAAGTTGTTCTATAACCACAGCAAAATTATCAATTAAGCAAGAGTGAAAAATATCCCTGAACCAATTTATTATTTTCCCTGCTAGGATATCTCCTTCTTATGGTGTAGCTTTAAATTCATTGTAAATAAGATTATTTTTATTTATAGTGGCATTGTATCTGAAGACATATTCATCTTAGACCCCTGAAATATTGGCTGAATAACTATGCTCACGAGAAATGAATTGTAATATTGGTTATACATTTCAGTGAACTAAAGACAGTCCTCACTCAACTGGATTAAAAAATGGTTTATATTCATATCATATAATTATCATTAGACTGACAGAGGTATAGACAATGTTATATAAATGATAAAATTAATTTTGTTTGCTTTTTTAAACACAAAGGATTTGACATGTCAGGAAAATTTGTTTTGAATCCCTTTAAAGTCTTTCATGTTGAGAAGTAATTTTACAATGTTTTCCAAGTAAGAGAAGAAATGTATTAGTGACAGCATTAAAAGGTGTGGCCCATTGGTTCCTGTGGGCAGTGTTAGCTGTGGTGTCAAAGACGTTTATGGCAGAGCCGTGGCTTTTTGAGCTGAGACGATTGGGTTTCCTAGTTATTCAGCTGGTATTTCTGTGCGGGTCTTTTCATCTACTACCTGTTTATGTGCTCTAGGAGCTGGCCTCTTTACACCTCATGCAAAGGTGGGAGGCTTAGCAAGGGGACCTCAGTAAGATGTGAGCCCATTTCTAGATGGACTTCTGAATTATTTGAAACTTGCCTACTAATGTGCTAATATATTGTTCATGTTACTAAATCAATGATGTCTTCCTCACAGGATTCTTGGAAGACTCAGAAATTAATTATAAACACTTGGGAAATAATAAGCATTTAATTGGTAGCTGCTTTTATATATAGTTCATGGGTCTAGGAAAGATGGACAAATTGGCTTTGGTTTATGGGACTTGGTAGGGAGACCGTGGAGGGAGTTTTGCAGTAAGTTTAATTAACTCTTCAGCTACATTTCTTTAGGATACATGGGTTCATGCAGAAATCTGTATAATGGGGTCTAGTCAGGGGAGTAGATCCAGAGTACAAGAGATGGTGCCTATAAGACCACACTTTTAATATATTTTTACTTTATACCCAGAAATTAAAGATCACTTATTAGAAATCATTTTCTGTTAATACTGCAAAAATATCTGTATTCTAGCAAAAATACTAGTATTCTATTTATTTTTCTAACTTTTTATTATAAAAAATTCAAATCCACAGAAATATTAAAGAAAAGTATAATGATCATTCATATCGACAACACCTAGATTGAACAACTATTAAAATTTTGCCATATTTTGTTTATATGTAGCTGTACATATATATTTGCTAATTCATTTAAAAATAACATCATAACATTATTCCCAAATAATTCAGAATGCACCCCCTAAAAATACTACAGAATATATTCATTTTCAATTTTTTTTTCCCAAACAGGAATGCGGCCAAAATTCATATATTGCATTTTATTGTTTTGTATTTTTACTTCGTTTAATAATTATCTACTTCTAAGAAACAAATGACTTCTAAAACTTAGCAGCTTAAAATAACACAAATATATAATAGTTTCTCACCCAGACCTATGATAGAGGAGGTGGAACAGCTCAGTTCTCTGGTTCTGGCTCCAAGTCTCATGGGAGTAATAGTCAAGCTGTCCACCAGGGCTGCAGGCACCTGAAGGTTTGATCGGGGCTGGAGGAACTTCCAGATGCTCACTCGTGGCGGTATCAGGATCTCAGTTCCTCACCCTGAGGATCTCTCCACAGGGCTGCAAACAGGAAGCCATAGTGCTTTTTATGTCCTAATTATGAAGCTCTACACTCATTTCTGCCATCTTCTGCTCGATAGTCTAGCCCAAGGCATGGGGAATTGAGTTTCAGCTCTTGAAGGGGGAAGTTTCAAAAAACTTGTGGCCTTGTTTTTACATCACCAGAGCAAGTATCTCCCTCTTCTATTGAAACTGCACCTTTAAGATATGCTGTTATTTTGATTCTTTGGTACCGGAAATGGTGGAGGGGCACCCTTTGGGAAATGTCCACAGTGGCAATCGACTCTCGGTGTTGAGGATAAAAACAAGGAGGAAAGGGAACCAGTCTGATGTAGCCTAATGCAGTTGTCGGTATCTTTGCTGATTATTAAAGCTGAGATAACATATGTGCTATCTCCCTGGCATTATACAGCATCATGATCCCATACACCCAGAGCCATAGAGTGCGAACTGCCTCATTCCCCATAGATGGCTTGAGGGGTCCCCAAAGGATTATTGGGTTGCAAAGGTCTACAGGGGCTGCTTGTAGTGTTACAAGAATCCTTTCCATTGGTCTGCATATGCATCAAAAAGGAATTCCGTTTGCCAGCAAGCCACACACCTATATGTCTAATCCCTGGTCAGTGAGGAATGCAGGGCCTCTCCAGTTGACTGAGGGATTCCGAAATGAGTCCCGGTTTTAGGAAAGTGCTTCCAAACCATTTACCATGAAAGTTGTGCCTTGAATGAGATCCAGTTTAATGTTCTCTGTGTACGTGACTTTAGAGAAAGGCCTGTGGGTTTGAACAGTGTTATCTATCGTTCAGGTGAGCAGCTAGTCCTGTAGGGATGGAGCGCCCTTTATATATTAGTGACCAGTTACTTCACATTCTCTGGCTCGCACTCTTTGGCATTTGTGTTTGCACACTAGTGGGAGCAGGGGCAGAGCTTGAGAGCATATTTTGCTTCTTGTGAAGCAAGCCACTTTGAGGTTCCCATGTAAGATGTGAGCCTGTTTTTTGTTTTTTGGGTTTTTTTTTGTGGACTTTAAACACCAGCCTCTTCTAGTAGGTTTGGTGTATTAGTTACCTAGAACTGTTTGTCTCAGACATTCATACATATGTTAATCTAACAGCTCACAGTGTTTCTGGCAATAGTCACTTTCCTGCTCTCATAGAAGCCCTCACAACAGGCATCCCAGGGGGTCCTCTGGGGGTCATGCAGCAGGGACCCGGGTACCACAGAGGTGTGGTGATTGGGACGGGTGGAAACTTCGCCAGCAGCACTCTCTGAGAAAGGACATGAGCTGATGGACTCCGTTGTCTTCTTCCTTTCAGGTTTGGCGGTCATGCATTCCCAGAGCACCAATCAGCTGGACGTGGGGAACAACCCACGCGTAGGCACCAAGCGCTACATGGCCCCCGAAGTCCTGGATGAAACCATCCAGGTGGACTGCTTTGATTCTTACAAGAGAGTCGATATTTGGGCTTTTGGACTTGTCTTGTGGGAAGTGGCCAGGCGGATGGTGAGCAACGGTAGGTATCTGATCTAATGTAATGTCCACTTTCAAGCCCTGTTGATTCTACTGCCTTTAAAAGGGAAAAGGGATATTTAAGTCCACATGGTTCCTTGTCATGCGACTGGCATTTATATTTAACTGGTAGGTGGAACGCGATGGCATTGTATTTTAACTGCACAAGAGGAAATCATTTGTTTTCTGGAAGAGACTAGTCATTCCTTTTTATTTATTTTTTTATTTTGATTGGTCCACATTTCCCTCCTTCCCTCCCTCCCTCCTTCCCTTTTTTCTTTCCTTCTTACCTCCTTCTTTCTATTCTGCCTTTCTTTCCACTTTCCCTTCTTTGCTCTTCTCACAAGTGAAGTTTAATGTGAGGAGGGTGCACAAGTAAATCTAAGAGTGGATGAATTCTGCTATTTTAGGTATTTTTACTTGAGATTAGATCATTGAGAAAAGGCTCAGGTGACGCACTCAGAATTCACCCCTTTGTAAGAAGTAGGCTGCATAAGTGAAGTTCATCTTCAGGAAGGCCCGAAGGGGTGGTTATGCCGGTACTCTTGTAAGTTAAGTTTTATGAAATGGTGTCGCCTTGGCAGTTAGGGAAGCATCTGTCCATCATTTTTACCTGCGTCCCCTACAATAGACTCTCGCTCTTGCCTTTCATGTATCCAGATCAACCACAAATACAGTGTTGAACTTAATTTCAACTGCATTGTATTCTCACAGCACTAAGTATACTCTTTCAAATTGCACATGCCCCATCTACCCACGAAGTGGTTATTATAGTAGAATCTTTTATGTTGACTAAATCAACCACTTCACAACCTGAATACTTTCACAATTGGAAATCTTATTTCACTGAGGATGTATCTGAAATTGTTCCAGAAAAACAGAAGACAGTACCATATATTTACATTAATATTCCTTTCCAAAAGTGACTTCACCCTCCTGTGACCTGTTGGAGTCTTGGATTTGAAGTATGAAAGAAATATCTATAACACCTGTGCTCCACCCCACCTTCCAATGACGTTTTCTTACAAGGATCGAGATTTTGGGGGCAATCATAATTTTCATGAACACACAGCCAGAGAATGGGAGGTTCTGAGAGGGAAGTGGATCTGGGTAACTTAATATAGTTTTAGTGTGCAGTAATTAATATAGGCTTGTCTTCATGATAGCTTCCCCCGCTCCCCCCCGCCCCCCCCCAAGCAGTGGAGTATTTGCTTTTAACAAACTCTCTAAGGATATCAAAGCTATTGTTTCAGATCAAACATAAACATACATGCATTGTAACCTGACAGTTCTTTTAAAGTACTTTAAAAAAAAAATAGGATCTTGAACATTTTCTTGGTAATTATTTCTCAATCCTTGGGATCGCTGACTTGCATTTTGTGCCATTCGAGTGCCTGGAGAATTGTTTGCAACAGAGAGACTGTTTTGCTGATTTATAATGTTCTGAACTTTGTCTGAAATTGCACATCGCCTTTCTTTACCCTCCCCCTCTTGAGCTCCTTCGAACTCAAAATCAAATTCTAATTAACAGACATTTTAGAGAAGGATTAGTGTCATAATAAACCATGTGATGGGAAACTTGCCCCAACTAAGAGAGCGGTAATATTCCAGGGCCAGGATGGGGGCAGTCCAGCTGGGGCGGAAGGGGTGCTGGGGCGGGGAGGGGTACTGGGGTGGGGAGGGGTACTGTTGCGGTGCCAGGCCAGCCTGTGAGCTGGCAGCCTAGTGCGGCAGAAATGTGCGATTAGGGCTGTGTAAGAACTTACGTTGCAAACTAGGTCCCCGTGTCATAAGCATAGGCCCAAATGGCTTTTAAAGATCAACTGCGAATAATGTTTGGTGCGAAGTTAACATCATCAGTTTAAAGTGTAGCTCAACAAATGGTGGTTTGCTTGATCTGTCCCCCACATTACTTCTGGGGGAAAAAAAGATGAAGAACAGAAGAGAATATTTTGGTTGCTTTGGGATCTCCCCTTAATGTCATTATTTAGATTGTTTTTCTGGTTCCTAAAATGTTGCGGCTTAAGCTTCTGCTCTGTGGTGTGCTTTGATTTTGGGGGGGAGGTAAGGGTATATTGTGTCTCATTGGAAATCAGCTACTGTCCTTTGACCATGACTAATTTGATATTTTTCTTCCTGTTGCTCTAGTCCCTCTTCTCCATAAATATTCATGTGCTCACATGCACACCATACATACATAGAAATGTTTAAACTGAAAATTGAGAATCTTCCAAGCTTTTAACAAGCCTATTTTTTAATATTAACATCTTAGTTATTACTACCAAAATAGAAAGAAATGAGTAGAGTAGAAAATAAACAAGAAAAAAAATGCTCTTGTATTGAAAAATTCATGTTTCTTTCCACTTCTTTATGCATATTTTTGACATAATTGTAATCATAGTCTAAATACAATTCTGTATTATCTTTTTCATTTATATGTGTGTTTTAATGTTGTTAAATAGCCTGTTTTTATTTTAAATGGTCACATGATATTTTTTTTTAAAACTATTTCCATATCCTTAGACATCCTGTCTCCTCGTTTGGGGCCTGTAGTAGACGGCTTTGTTCATATAACTTCTCATTTGGGGAATTCTTAATCTGACAAAAAAGTAGCCTTAATAGGTCAAAGACTATGGATGTTTTTATATATTACCAAATTGCTTTCCATAAGAGTTGTACTAATTCACAATATTCTACTCACCCTAGGGTGCGATGTACGTATTTTGCTTTCTTACCAGCTTTAGGAACTGTCATTAAAAGTACATATTTTTGAAATTATTGCATATAAAATACAACTCATTTAAATATATGAATATCTTCAGAAGGTCATTATAATTATGTGTCCTTGGAGCTCCTGAGTCCGTTGTAAAAACTGATGACCAGATAGTGCTCCCGGAGCACTGTGATCCTCAAGTGGACCATGAATATGAAACTACATTGCATTTAATGATTTTTTTGGGATTTTACATTTATTTGCTACACCTAATAAACCTCATGCTGTTTCTGTACAGGAAATGAGAGTTCAGTCCATCTCACATCTGCAAATTGCTCAATAGTATTGTTTGGGTTTTACTTTTTGTGTTTAGTTTGACACTGAATTTGGAATTGGTAGGCAGGAAAACAGTTTTCTCACCTTCACTGTGTGAATGTTTTATATGAACTTAAAGCAGGGTTTGCTTGGATCAGTGGTTCTTAAGCTGGAATGTACATCAGAACCACCTAGAAACACAGAAGACTACCCCACCCCAGCATTCCTGACTTAGTAGGTCTCGGCTTGGATGGAGAATTTCCCTTTTGAACAGGGCCCCAGGGGGTGCCGATGCTGCTGGATCAGGGACTGAACTCTTGAGATCTCGTGTTAAAATGGAATACAGTAAATCAGTTTCCCCAAGCCAGGAAATGAAGACTGCCCCAGGACGCCATCGGACCCTGTCCCAGCAGCATGTCCGTGCCTTGTCCTGATACTTTAGGTCAGTGGTTGGCAACTGTGGCTTGGGAGCCACATGCAGCTCTTTGGCCCCTTGAGTGTGGCTCTTCCACAAAATACCATGGCCTGGGCAAGTCTATTTTGACGAAGTGGTGTTAGAAGAAGTTTAAAAAATTTGGCTCTCAAAAGAAATTTCAATCGTTGTACTATTGATATTTGGCTCTATGGACTGGTGAATTTGCCGACCACTGCTTCAGGTGAAACTTGTGTTCCCTTTCAAGCTCCTAAGAGGTTTATTTCTCCCTTAAGAGTCTTAGTCTTAGCCTTCCTTTTTAGATTTTTGCTACCTCTCCGGAAGTATTCTTCTTTTCCTCTCTTTATAGTCCTGCAGATGTATTTGTTTCTGGTCACCTGAGTTCAGTGCAGTCTGAGGAAAGGGCTTTTCGGAGGGTTTCAGTAGATACAGGGAACGTTGTAACCAGATTAGTGCCTTTTAGCTGTGGTCTGGTCAGAGACGCGTCTTCCCAGCGTCCCTCAGCATGTGCCCTCTTGAGTTTAGGAGTCTTTCCTCTGGGCTGCAGCCTTCGGTGGGAAACCTTGTATACAGAAACCCCATCATTCTGTTGCTCTGATACTGCGGTTGCCTGCTCATGGATTTAAAATCTAATTACAATCACCTTTACTGTCCAGCACACCTTTCCTTACAGTATCTCCTTAGTGCACAGTCTACTGTATGTTTTCACACAAAGTTTCATTGTGATTTAAATGCCACATAAAGGTGTCATTTCTGTGACGGATGCACCTCACTATTATCAATAACCCAGTGACTCTCAAAGGACCCAGAGGAAATGCAGTGCTCGGGTTCCCATCAGAAGGTACAGTGGGATTTTTGAAAAGGCAGTGTACCTAGGTACAGGTACACACTTTTACAAAACAGGACCTTTCTTGTGTTTGGTTGCCCCACACACTGGGGTGTGTTTCTGCCTCTCCTGCTGTGTTTGCCCTCAGGGCCAAAGCCCGGCACATGGACACCAATGAGGGGGCACCCTCTGTACCATTATGCAGATTCTCTCGGGCCCACCAGAGGCAGAGAAATACAGTCATTAACTGGCTCTGAAATCATACTCTCTGACTTGAGAACTAACATAAGTTTCATCATCCAAAAAAGATTGATAACAATAGTATCCACTTTAATGAGTTCTCATGATTAAATGAGAAAACTCATGGAAAGCACCCAGTGCGTGTCTGGCACATGGTAAGTGCTCCGCGGACATCGTTACTGTTCCCCTGGGTCACACCTGTGCTGGCAGAGCTCGGTTGCCCTTTCCCCACCTTTCCTTGTGCGAATCCTTCTGATACTACATTTGTTCCTCTCAGTGCCCACAGTGGGGCTGTGTGGACACACTCTTGTTTCACTGTTACTGGCTTTATTTTGTGATGGGATCTAGTGTTACAATGAGTCAAAAAAATATTTACGTCTCATAGAAAAAAATTAAACTCTGACTCTGCTAGGGGTATCACATGAAGATAGTGTGTACCACTTACTACCATTGTAAAATGTAAAAAGCTCCAAATGCTGAAAGCATATCTAACCTCAAGGGTTTTTTGGACATATAATCAATATTCATTTAACTAATATGTAGTGTCTATAATATGCTTGTTAGAGTGTTATGCTCTGGGAAGCAGTTGAGCAAAAAAAACACACCAAGAAATATCCAGTTTTTAAAGGTATACACATTTTAGTTGAACACATTATAAATTAATAGTATAAGCCATTATGGTTGAGGTACACTGTGGACACTGTGTGTGCAGAGTGGACACTGAAGTTGGCCAGAGGCCTGGAGTATTGGCAGCAGGGTGGGAGGGCCTCTGAAGACAGAAGCATGAACGGAGTCATAACTGAGATGAGTAGGACCTACTTAGGTGGGCCAGCTTGGGAGCATGTGCAGGAGGAAATGAGAAATAACATCAGACAAGGATGACGATTGACCTCCCAGGCAAAAGGAAAAGCTGTGGGGAGTCGTAAAGGTGTCCTATTGATGCAACTGTAAGTAATTCCTGTGGCTGATGCCCAGGTACGTGAAGGAGGGCAGTGGTGTGGAATGGTTGTTATGGGGCAATGAGCACCACCCTTCCCATGGGCAATGCTGATGGCATACACATAGAGGAGGGACACAATGAGCTTTCCCCTTAGTTTTCTCCCAAAGATACGCTGCTGGGGGCAGAGGCATATGATGGAGGGGAGGACTTGAAGCAGAGAGACCTGTAGGTCCCCATGCAGCTGTCAAGCAGGTAGGAGATGGGGGCTCCTGGGAGGGTCTTAGGCCTGGGGTAGGGTCACCAGGAAGGCCTTGTTTCTAGAGACTAGCATTTGGGAAAGACCTCTCTGTCATGTTGTGCTTTTTGAAGTGCTATGGACTTTCTTGTTTATGTGAACATCAGCTTCGAGATTGTCCTTCAGAAGTGTTGGAATGGAGTCATGGCAGTAAGGGGTTTACCCAGAGCCAAGCAGCAAATTAGTAGGGATATTGGTTGGTGAAGCTATATTTGCCCCAGAAAAGAGAAAACTTTCCATGAAACATACGCCCAGGAACAAATGATTGTATAATTGAGATGCACAAGCCAAAGGTTGTGGGGGAGTTGGGAATGAATAATGCCTCCGATTTCTTTCACGTGGCCCTTTGAGTCACACCAACAGCTTGATATGGGAAAGCAAGACTTGGCTCAGCTCCCTCTTCTTGACCCCCACGTAAGAGCTCCTCTTCTCTGCATCCCTGTGTCTTTTTGTTGTTTGTACCACACATTTGGCACTTGAAGTGCTTTGTATTTTTAGTCACTTTTCCAGAATTCATGCTGGCTCACGATTTGGCAGTTTGTTCATTGGGTGGTGTCTTTAAAGGACATCAAGTTCACTTTTTTTTTTTTTTTTTTTTTTTTTTTTTTGCCTGGCTACCAGATTGTTTGTCACTTGTTGGCAGAAACAAGGACCAGTTGTACCTGACTTCCTATCTCAACAACACAAATCATTTCACAGTCTGGCCTTGACCTGTTCTCTCTCATTCTCTTTTTATTTTATAAGCATGATTTAAAAAATGTTTTTCTTGATTTCTGACAAAGGAAAAGAGAGGTAGAGAGAGATAGAAACATCTATGATGAGAACCATTGATCAGCTGCCTCCTGCACGCTAGGGATCCAGCCGGCAATCGGGGCATGTGCCCTGGCCAGGAATTGAACCGTGACCTCCTGGTTCCTGGGTGGATGCTCAACCACTGAACCACACTGGTGGAACGTGGCCTGTTCTCTTCACTACCCATGTGCATCCGATTGCAGCCACAGAGACTTCTTTCTTTCTCTCCAGCTCTGAGGATGTGTCGTTTGTAACTCCTTACTTTGCCCCACTCCCCCTGACCCTCACACCTGGAGCGCCCCCTTTCCTTGGTGTTTCCTCTTCCTCACCCTTTTCTCTGCCCTGAAAACTCATTATTATGTCTGCCCATGCCCTAGCTTCTGGAAAGGTTACTTAAACTTCAGTGACACCCAATTTTCTGGTTCTTAATAACCACACAGGTCTTTTCTTCTCTGAGTACCATGTCCCTGCCCTTCTCTTTGCCCCTATCTCTAATGCTAGTTTGATTTATTTTCTCATCTCCCTTTTCTCTTTTCCTGCTCCCCATCACCCACATCACATCTTTTTCGTTTTGTATCTTCAAACAAAACCTCTGGTGCACACAGTTTAATGGATCAGAATGATATGATTAAAACTAGGAACCAATAAATAAAAATATAGTGATGGTTTCTACTCTATCTTTGCCTCTTAAGATATAAAGTAAGTAGTGAAGTGAAAAAAAAAATTCAGACTTTAAAAAACACCACCGCAAAGAGAAGGGCTTGTCCTCCTCCTCTTCCTCACTAGACATTGAGTTCCCATAAAACCAAGAGCGTGTCTTACACTTTTATCACCCTCACTGTTGAACGTGGTGTCCCACACTTAGATACAGAATGTACTTTATATTGCTTGAAATAATTGCTTTCCTTCAGCAGAGGGAGTTGCACATGGCGGCCAGAGTTTAATCCCAGGTGCAATTTATTCTGGAGAAGCATGACCAATGTCAGATGGAAACAATCAGCAGTTGACTCATATTTGAAGAAAGAGGCGTGACTAAGTCCCAGACATAATCAATTAGATGGTCTTTCTTTTTAAACTCAATTCCTTTTGTTAAAACATGGGGGTGTTTAATAAAGTTAAAATATGGTAAATATACACATAAGGGGAAACCTCAGCTTTATAAAGTGAAATTCATTGTTGGGTATCACTTTTAAAAATCTTTCCATACTTTTTTCTTTTGCATTTAAAGAGTAGGAAAATCCAGCTGGTGTTACTGTTCACAATCACATAACCCTTTCCAAACTAGTCAGGCAAATTACCCCAAATAGCTGGCTGTTATGCTAGATTTAAAAAAAGAAAAGAAAAAAAAGAATTTTAGAAAAATTGAGAGATGGGGAAGGGCATATCTCTTATGTTTCCTATAAACTAATGTGGTCCTTGAAAAGTTATAAATTATCTTGCAGGCCCATCTCCAGGGGTATTGTATGGGGTGTCTGTGAGTAATGAAAAGAATTAGACTTTTTGTTTGAATGATTCCTGGGATCCTTACAAGAGAAGTAGGTAGGGCCTTAGAGGTGAGCTGGCTCCAGTCGTCTTATCTGAGTAGGGGTTTATGCCTAATATCAGCTCTTTATGGTTTACCAGGAAAGGTTTTTAATCCAGGGACTGAAATTTTACAGTGCAGTTATGCAGTGTGGAAAAATTAATTAGAAAATAGTATCAACTAGAAATTTATTTTTACATAATTAGAATACATTATTTTTCAAATAAACTTAGTTGGACTTGTGAAGTTTAAGGGAAAAAAATCCAATATTTCTTTAACAGAGGCTCTTTATCTTAGCTAATGTTTTGTGTAAACAATTTGTATTCATATGGAATTTATAAGAATGGATTCTCTTTCTTAAATAAATTTCTTTGATATATGAAAAGGGAATTGAAACTATTCAGGTGGCTTGTATGAACTAGACAAACTTAATCATATTTTAGAAAAATTTAATCGTTTATTTTATAACTGGAAGTTTGTACCTCTTTTCCCCTTCACCTTTTTCACTCATCCACCTACCTACCTTTTCTCTGGCAACCATTAGGTTGTTCTCTGTATCTCTTCTGTTTTGACTTCTGGAGTCCACTTATAATTGAAATCATATGGTATTTGTCTTTCTCTATCTGGCTTATTTATTTAGCATAAAATACCCTGTAGATCCATCCATGTTGTTGCAAATGATAAGGTGCCTTTTAAATTGCTGCTTTATTGCTGTGCCCAGATCAGGTGAATCTGCCATGTTGGCCCCTCAGTGACATCTCTTCCTACTGCAGATCGCCTCTCTAGTAGTGTTCCCATGGTGACCATGTCTCCGTCTCTCCTACTCTTTGTGGTTCCTCTCTCGATGGTTGTGCAGAAGCTGATTAATCAGCCCTCGGTTGTTGTTCTTTAGGAATGGCTCTATGTGTAGGTGTATGTTGTGTGTGTCCCTCGGATAAGGTGAATTTTGGGGTCTTCCTATGCAACTGTCTTGGATCCCCCAGCCCCAAATGATAAAGTAAAAACATTTTCTATTTGTGGAATTGCTCTTTCTTCTGAAAAATAAGCAGTTGGAGTAATTTTGCTGAAATTAACCACTTTTATATTTGGGAATAAGGGAAGAGTTTATCCTTTTCAGTCATTCTTGTTTTTCTCAAATGATTACCCTTCTCTATATTTTGTTCTCCAATATGAGAGTAAATAATTGAGCCATCAGTAAGCTATATCTGGCAGTTAGCATGTATTCAGTCCATGTACAATGAATGAATAAGTAAATTTATAATTTGTATTAATTACCTGTATCCTCTCAAGAGGAGGAATTATTTTATAGCAAGGACTTTTTTCCTAATCATACTAAAAATGTGTATTTTGATAATGTTCTTGGATTATTTGCCTGTAGCTCTAGTTTGTGGATAACTTTATTTCTATTATGGTCTGAAACGACTACTAGATTCATGTCAAAAGATGTCGTGTCTTTTTTTGATCACCAAAGGAATTTTTGTCTTGGATCTTACAGAGCAGTTTATATACACTCTGGGAGCATTCTGTTAATTGTAATTACATAAGAAGTAGTCACAGTTTCTTGTAACAATTATTTTTCCTCCAGTTTCTCTGCAGGACATCTACTTATTGCCTTGTTTTCCACTTATTTTAAGACCTACCTATAGCTTTCAGAATCATCTTGAAGTGTGAGAAAGGTGATGAGGAGGGTAACCAGTACTTTTCCTGTCACATTATAATAAAAACTCTGAGGAAACCTCTACCCTCTTGCTAAGCCAACACAATTCTTGTCCATGTGTGCAGGTATTGTGGAAGATTACAAGCCACCATTCTATGACGTGGTTCCCAATGACCCAAGTTTTGAAGATATGAGGAAGGTGGTCTGTGTGGATCAACAGAGGCCAAACATACCCAACAGATGGTTCTCAGATCCGGTAAGAACCACCTTCTTAGTTTTACAGCTGTCCTCAGCTGTTGGCTTGCTCTTGTGTTTCAGTTGGTATGGCTCTTAAGTGATCTGCCTCAGTTACCTATTGCTTTCTCTCCCTATTTTATGCAGAAGGCCTTAGATCTAGTTAGGTAGGTACAGAAAATTGTTTCTTTCTTGAAAGAGCCACAGCTGGTCTAGTTAGGTAGATCTTGCTAACGACTGACAGTATTCACAAAAATTCCTGTTACTGAGAGTCTCATTACTATATCACTGGCTCTAGGACTGGGGTTTTATATGTAAATGAAGACACTGAGTGATGCTTTTAACTGTTTTGCTTTTTCCATCTCTGCATATCTGAAATTGCAAACATGTTGTTCAATGCTGAAAGACCTTATTTCTGCTCTTTAGTAGCAATCTAAGACATTGAGAAATCACCCTTTCTGCACATTTCAGTTTTAACTCTGGGTTGGTATTGCCATTTGTAGCACCCATAAAACCATCAAGGGATTTGACCTGAGCATGTAATTGACTTGATAAAGTCATTGGGTAGTCTAGGAGTCCAGAGGACAGATACCATGAAATTCAAGAGGGGCTTCTTTATTAGTCATCAATGATTGGTTGAAGAAAAATGGCAGTGACAACACTTTAACTTCATGAGACCTAGAGCTCTGCAGCACAGCTAACACATCTACCCAGCTTCTTTATCCCGCCCCCCAAAACCACCTTTTCACTGTGGTGTTTGCTCCTTCTCTCTGTAGACATTAACTTCTCTGGCCAAGCTGATGAAAGAGTGCTGGTATCAAAACCCGTCCGCAAGACTCACAGCTCTGCGTATCAAAAAGACTTTGACCAAAATTGATAATTCCCTGGACAAATTGAAAACTGACTGTTGACATTTTCGTGGTGTCAAGAAGGAAGATTCGACGTCGTCGTCATTGTCCAGCTGGGACCTAATGCTGGCCTGACTGGTTGTCAGACAGAATCCATCTGTCTCCCTCCCCAGATGGCTGCTTCCACAAGGCAGGCATCTCACCCAGCCATGTGTCGGGGAGACACCAAAACCACCCTAACCTCGCTCAATGACTGTGAACTGGGCATTTCACAACTGTTCACACCGCAGAGACTGATGTTGGACAGACACTGTTGCAAAGGTAGGGAACTGGAGGAACACAGAGAAATCCTAAGAGAGATCTGGGCATTAAGACAGTGGCTTTGCATATCTTTCACGAGTCTCCTAGACACTCCCATGGGAAACTCAAGGAGGTGGTGAATTTTTAATCAGCAATATTGCCTGTGCTTCTCTTCTTTATTGCACTAGGAATTCTTTGCATTCCTTACTTGCACTGTTACTCTTAATTTTAAAGACCCAACTTGCCAAAACGTTGGCTGCATACTCCATTGGTCTGTCTTTGGATAATAGGAATTCAATTTGGCAACACAAAATGTAATGTCAGACTTTGCTGCATTTTACACATGTGCTGATGTTTACAATGATGCTGAACATTAGGAATTGTTTATACACAACTTTGCAAATTATTTATTACTTGTGCACATAGCAGTTTTTACAAAACTGCTCTGTGCATATGTTAAAGCTTATTTTTATGTGGTCTTATGATTTTATTACCGAAATGTTTTTAACACTATACTCTGAAATGGACATTTTCTTTTATCCTCAGTTAAATTCACATTTTAAGTGCTTCACATTTGTATGTGTGTAGACTGTAACTTTTTTTTTTTTTCAGTTCATATGCAGAACGTATTTAGCCATTACCCATGTGACACCACTGAATATATTACTGATTTAGAAGCAAAGATTTCAGTAGAATTTTAGTCCTGAACGCTGTGGGGAAAATGCATTTTCTTCGGAATTATCCATTATGTGCATTTAAACTCTGCCAGAAAAAAAAATAACTATTTTGTTTTAATCTACTTTTTGTATTTAGTAGTTATTTGTATAAATTAAATAAAATGTTTTCAAGTCAAGAAGTGAATTATATTCAGTGTATAAAAAGATCTTGATAATGTAGCACATTTTCTTATGGGAACAATAGAAAATCATCATAAACCGAATTTGCTTTTCAAGTCTAGTAATGAACTTGAGGGATTCTATGAGGATGTTTCCAGCTAGAATTTGGTATCAGATAATCTGAATTTTGTTTGTTTCTTTTTTGGCTGTGATTTTTTTTTTCTTGGTTAAAAAATGACTGGTCTGCCTTCCTAACAATATGATTGTGAGTAGAAATGGGAGGGAGGATGTGAAAGCATTTTACTTAGTATGTGGCCATCTGCGAGTGGAAAGCAGTCTTACCCATCTCACCATATGCTTGAGGAGAGTCCATTGTTGGCTTTTTTCACTTAACTCTGTTCAACGAGATTGAAAAGATTGGGTTTAGAGTATCCCCAAAGGGGAAGAAGTTGGAAGATTCTGAAAAGTTCACCAGAGGTAAGTTAACAATACATTTACCTGTATTATTATCCTATATAATAAAACTCTAATAATCAAATTGACCCAATGGTGGAATGACTGGTCGCTATGACTTGCACTGACGACCAATGGGCAGATGCTCAATGCAAGAGCTGGCCCTTGGTGGTCAGTGCGCCTGTAGGAGTGCTGCTCAGCCAGAAGCCGGGCTCATAGTTTGCGAGCGCATTGGTAGTGAGAGCCCCAGACTGCGAGAGGGATGTCTGTCTGCCAGCTTAGGCCTGATCCCCAGCAGGCAGACATCCTCCAAGGTTGCATATGTTAAAACTTATGGGCTAAGGGACTCTCACCCCCCACTAGTCCCCCAGTGCACTTATGTTGTATACCAGGCCTCTAGTGTATTTAAAAATTTGTGGTAAAATACAGATATAAAATTTATCATCATAATCATTTAGATACACAACTTGAGGGTTGTGCTGCCATCTCACTATCCATCCCCAGAATTCTTTTTCTTGCAAAACTTAAGCTGTACTGGTTAAACAATAGGTCCCTGTTCCTCGGTCTCTGGTAACTCTCAATCTATTTTCTGTCTCTATGAATTTACTCTAAATACTTCATTTGAGTAGAATCATACAGTATTTGTCCCTTCATGGGAGACTAGCTTTTTCACTTAGTATAATGTCTTCACGGTTCATTCTTATTGTAGCATATATTAGAATTTACTTCCTTTTTATGGCTGATAATATTCCATTTGTATGTCTATACAACATTTTGTTTATCCACTCATCTGTTGATGGGCAGTTGGGTTTCTTCCACTTTTTTATCTCTTGTGAATAATGCTGCCATGAACACTGGGTGTATAAATATTTCTTTGAGTTCTTGCTGTCAATTCTTTTGGCTGTATACCCAAAAGTAGGATGAAGTCGCATTCGCATTTAACTTTCATTGAAGTATTACATATGTAAGAGTATACATATATAGAAATGTACAGCTTGATGCATTTTTATCAATTTTACAAATTGGTTGCACCCAGATCAAGCAGCAGAACATTAGCTTCTCTAGAGTGTCAGCCTCATGGCAGCATGAGTCATTCCTTGTTTCTCTCCTTTTTGATTTATAAGTAACTGGACATCCATTACAGAACAAAAATGCTTCTACACATTACACCAGGACTCCTGGCAACTTTTACCCACCCATGCACCTGAATATGGATCCAAAGGATTTGGCGAGCCTACCCAACAACACCCATGTGCCATGATTGGGAAAAGGGGAACCTGGAGAATGCCAAACTAGGTAGACAGTCAGGTGAGAGAAATTTTGTAGAGATCTACCAACCTGGTGGGAGAGTCCAGCATCCCCTAGGAGGGAGATGGAAATTAGCCTGGAGGTGGGGGAGCTCACTGAGTTGCCCTCCCTCCCCAAAGAGACATTGCAAAGCACAGCATCCACCTCTCTGCCATCAGGAGGTGGAGAGTGAAAGTAGTGAGAGACAGACTGCTTGGCTGCATGGATTGTAGCTGGAGGGACCTGTTTCTCTTTAGCAATCCCTAAATTACTGAGGAGGGCTCTTGGGGCGGAGGGGACGGGGGGTGGGGGGGCAGGTTAAGGGAGATTTGGGACTTTAGCAGGAGGTCCACCCACAGACTTCTGGGATTGCCCAACTCATGGGTCATTTTGTTGGGCTATGGATACCCCCAAGCCTCAGAAGCAAAGTCTACACCTCCCAACATGCTGCTGCCAGCTCTCTTTGTGCCTTGTCAGAAGAGGGAAGCCCCGAGAACCTGCTCAGGTAAGAGAAACCAAAACCTTGAGTTATAGCACCACCTTCTGGAATACAAAAAGCGGTTTTTAATTGCCAACCTGTTGAACTATAACAGCCAAAATAAACAAATCCTTCACTAAAGAAAATGCACGCTGCTTCAAATGTGAACTGCTAGCAGATGCAGAAGTGCATCTCCTCTAACATTATGAAAAATATCAAAACATGACTCTCGGTCTAGGTGGCAGGGTAAGTAAACATTGTGTTGCTCCTTCCCACAACCACATCGAAATCTCAGCTACATTATAGAACAACTATTACTGAGAACCACATGAAGACAACCTGAACAGAAGTCCCATAACTAAGGATATAAATAAGCCATGTCCAGATTGGTAGGGAGCAGCTGCAGAATGGGCAGGTCTCACACCCATAGTGTGGCGATTAAGAATCTGGAGGGATATCTTGGCTACCGAGGTCTCCCCTGAGGACTGAGGGGTCCCAGTCCCAGGCTGGAACACCAGTGCCAGGAAGAGGAATCCTCATAACATTTGGATGTGAAAACCAGTGGGGATTGCATCTGGGAGACGGAGGGCTGCTGGACACTTAGGGACCGTCTTGGCCCATTCATGGACTCCCACGTGAACTCATGGTTACAGCCCAGGAGCAACATATCAGAAGGTACCAGGGACGAATGGGGACTGGCAATGGCTATAAGACAAGGGTTGGGAGGACAGGAGTCAAGGCAGCTCTCTGGGATGTAAGTGCTGGCAGGTGCCTTTGTTCCCTTGTTGAATGCTCTTTCCATTCACCCTGTAGGCCCAGCTGGAGCCAAATCTGAGCTCTTCATTAACCTGGCTAACATTTTCTCTCACCTGGTATTCTCTGAGATCCCATCCCGCCCAACTTGTGCACCTGGCCCAAACCTCATCTGCTAGCAGCTCCACACAAGCTGCTTCATGCTGTGGACTATCTCAAATTATCTCAAAGGGCCACAAGGTCCAAACAAGTAGTGGCTGGCCTCAGCATCCCCTGTACCTCTTTCTAAGTGGCTCAAACCCTGGCACAAGTGGCGACCCATCTTAACCGACATTATAACTCCCATAGTTGGCCACAAGGCTGGCATGAACAGCAGCCAGTCGACTTGGGACGTAATTTCAAATAATTGGCCAAAGCCTGGCACAAGTCACAGCTGACCTTAGCTCACATTGTGGTGCCTACCAAAGGGTCCTAAGTCTAGCACTAGTAGCAGCCAGCCTTGGTTTGCAGCTTAGCCTCTCCTTGTGCCCACAAGCCCAGCATTAGCAGCATTGCACTACATATCACTTTGTATCTACTACCAGATAGCCCCAAACTAGTTAAAAGCTGGGGCTGATTTTGACCTGCTCTGGAGCCCCTCCAAAGAGGCTCCAGAATCAGCACACCTAGTGGGTAGCCTTATACTAAATGAGAGCACCACTCAACAAAACACAAATGACACCCTTGAGGGTAGAGTAGGTTGGCACCAGAGAGCTCTTACGCTATAGTCACAGCAAGTCCTCACAGCCAGTCAGCCCGAGGGTCAGTCCACTTACCCCACACAAAGGACACCTCCGGATCCTGGCTCAGGTGACATGGGGGACTGCACCACCGGGCCCCCCGGAATACCTACTACCTCAGATCACTAAGACAAGACTGGGAGATAGAGTCGATCTGCCTAATACATAGAAGCAACA